TGAACCCTTAAAGCAGAGAAGTATAATATTCAGTATGTATGTTTATGCTCTCTCCGTTGCTTCTTTTTATCAAAAGATAAGTTGGAATTCAGGAACGGAGTAAATGTTAAGGAATGTGGTCAGAAGTGCTTTCGTATAGAACCAGCTTGTCAACTTGGAATCTCAACCACAACATATACCTTGACACTTTGAGCTCCTCAGCCTATTTCTCAAAACTCCTTGCATACAGCACCAAATCCCTTTCAGTTTTGTTGTAACACTTTATTCAATTTATCAATTTTGTCTTCCAGCCCTTCAAACACAAATCCAAAGGATTGCTCGTCTTTCACATCCTCACTTAACTCCCACTCTTCTCCAATTTCCTTCACTTTAGTACGCTGATCTTTGAGCTGCCATTTGTGATTCTTTGTTGCCCGCAACTTCTCCAGCTTCATCGCATTTCTCCACTCATTTTCTACAACTTCCCCTGGAGATATAGATCTAAATTTAGGCGAAAGAAGCCCGAGGTACATCACTGTTTACTAACTCCTCTTTTATTTGTGACTGTATTGTAGCTACTTGTATGACAGCATCAATTTCTACTGTAGGTTTTAAATAGGGTGCTGGCATCATCGCTTCTTCTTCTCTCTTTTCTTGTTTTTCTTGTTCTTCTTCAGCTTCAATCAGGTGCAGGCAATACAAGTATTGAACTAATGGCACAGCAGCATACTCATCATGAAGAGTAAACAACCTGTTTGTGTACATGCTTGTTTGAAACAACAAACTCTTATCATTATTATGAAGAATCCTGCAGCTCCCCTCACATATCAGAATAGTCAAACCCTTCTCTTGCAGTTGCCCCATACTGAGTAGATTGTTTTCTAACTCTGGAATATATAACACCTTACAAATCACCAAATTTTTTCCTTCTGCTTTTATCCTTATAGACCCTTTTTCCCAACACTTGAAGTTTAATTCCGTGTCCCAAATTGACAGTACAAGTGAATCTACTGTCAAGATAAGAAAACCAGTTTTCGACCTTACACATGTGGTGGCAACAAGTCAATAGAAAGTTTAACCCCTATGATTGATTGCTTGCTTGTTTCATGCCCTCTTCCTCTGTCCTTTCTATTTTTGTTTTCTGACCCAAGTTTTGATGTAGGGGCTGGGAGTTCAAGGGAGGAGGAAATAGCTCAGATAGAGGAGATGCTGGACATAATATCCCTAGGTGGAAGAGGAAAGGAGGTCGAGGGAGGCTCAATTGAACAATGACAAACTTGTTCTTCTCATCTCCCAAAAATCTCCCCCTCTTCTTACGTCTATGTCCCTGAATGTGCTGTCATCCTTGTTTCCTTTGGTGTTTTGACGTTCACAAGTTGATGTGTTCCCATTGACGTAATTACGTGTTTTGGAATTGACAAGTTGATATTAGACGACATGATGATCCATTTGACGATGATGATTAGATATTTTGATTAATGTTGATGATATGAAGAGTATCTGAATTTATGATATTATCCGTATTTCTGATTAGGTAAATGTTGATTTTCGATTTCATAGTAATTCTCGTTTCATTTTTACGGGATAAGGATTCGAGCATGCATAATGGATGAAAGGAAGTGACTATGTTAGTGATTTTTATTTTGATAAATTTTTGGAATATGATGGATATGTTGAGAATGATTATTGATTACAAGATTTGAACTTATGGAGGCAAGCAGAATTAAATAAATGAAAGGGTTTGCATGATGGAGCGATAAAATTCCTATCCAACCTACTTATCCAAGTTAAATATTTATGGGTCATTCTCAAAAACATTAACAATTCACTTATGGAGTTAGACTTTTGCCAACCATAAAAAAGTTTTTTCCTTTTGAGTGGGAGCATGATCTTTTCCTTTTGAGTGGGAGCATGATCTTTATACGAGAGAAGAAGATACAAGGTTAGTTTAGCTTTCTTTTTCGTAGAGACAACCCAGATTTAATTAGCTCCCCTCTCTCCGGCGCCCAGGGCGCACTATTGGGAGTTTGCTGGTTACAATGCTGACGGCGATCATCACTCGGTGCTTAACAAATCAATGCAAGGCTCAGGGATGGAGGACCAGTACCATGTTTCGTCCCCTCTCCCTGGTTGAAGGTTTAGATAGCGAGGCTGTTGATTCCTCGATACTTTCATCTTGTCGCCATTTGCGCGGCCTTGTATGCCATGGCGGATTGCTGTTCCAAAAGAAGGAATGGAAAACGGAAGCTCGGGCTTGTCCTGGCAGAGAACGATATACTTGTTCTCGATTTATCAAAACGAAGGCGAATGTCCGAAAGAGTAGGCTGGCGATTCAAAATTCTTTCACCAGACAAATTGGAAGTGGATGGGCGGGACAATAATACTTCTCTGTTGGTAGCCATTAACATGGCGGCTCGGGATGTCGCCCCTGCTAACTCGATGGGAAGTGATATTGATGTGCCCTTTCTAGGGCGTTTCCCCAGTCAGTTGGTTCGGGATCCCCTTCCCGGTGACCGGAAAGGCACCGTCGAGGAGCAGCGGATCCGATCTCCTGCTCGTTGTGAGGTTGTTGGGATAAGATTCCCTCCTGTTACGATCCCCGCGAATAATGGGATTTTAAATTTGAATATTATCCCTTTTAAGAAAATGAAGAGTCCTTCCCCTCGATTATCTCTCAAAAACCTAATCGGTGCTGAGTCGGATTACCCTGCCCATGAGTCACGTCTTCCCTATAAGACTCTTAGCCCTAGACCCTTTACTCTACTATCTTCTAACAGACGAGTACGGTTTACGGCGAGAGCTTTCAAAGACGTCACTTTCCCCAGGGTTAATCCACGCTCAGGTAGTCTAACCTTCCCTCCTGTTTTCTGGCGAGAAAAATCTCTGGTGTTTGAACTCAATATATGCACTTTTGACTTCTTGAACAACGACAATAACACGGTTTACTCCTCTCCGAACAATGTTCGAACGAGAGTATTTGATGTTTTTGATGATTTTTTGGGAACAAGTTAAGTTACGTTACTCTACTCCTATGGAGGTTCAGTGAGAGCTCCGAAAACTACGGCTATGGCTAATTTGCAGAGAAAAAGATAAAGTTTGACATAGTGTGTTAAATGGTTGGTTGTGGAACCCTTTTCTCGTCTTCGTTTCTCCTATTTATAGCCACCGGGTGTAACAGCCTTGGTAACCGCCCGCCTTAGGGTCCCTTGTCCCACCTTGGCGACTAGTTGGTAACCGTCGCCTCGGAGGCCCTTGTCCCTCCTTGGGCTGGTGAGTACTTGATGGTCTCGATGCCGGGCCGGGTTGGTGTTGAGCCTCTTTGCCTTAGCCTCCATGATGAAGTCTTGATCACATCCTCGACAGCCCTGACGACTCCATGCTCCTCGTCTTGCTAGCCACCTCGATGAACCGTCTTGATAGCTAGGCCATATTACCCACCTAGGCAAGACGAGAATTTGGACCCTTTATCCCCAGGTCTCCACACTTAGTCTTAGAGTGACTGTCATGGCACTAACTTGTCATCTTGGTATCTTGCACTCGGCCAGCTTGGTACCCCGTTAGGGGGCCATCATGCCCATCTTGGGACTTAGTCTCCATATGGCCCCCAAGGGGCTCTGTTTGATACAATTGTTGGCTTGATACCCGATGTCTGGCTATCAAGTCCGTCTTGCTTGGCCCCCTGTTGCCTGGCTATCAAGTCAGTCTTGTCGGCTTGATACCCCCTTGGAGCAATGGTACCCTATCGCCTTGCTTGGCTGCCAAGCCTGTCTTGCCGGCTTGATACTTTGTAGGGGTCTTGGTACCGAGGCTGCCTTGCCGACATGGTACCCCCTTAGCTCCATACTTAGCCAAATTCATGCTTTTCATGTCTTGGTACCAAACCTTGCCCCTTAGCCATGGGATTCCATACTTAGCCAATTTTCATGTCTTTTGGTATCTTGTCGGCTTGATACCCCTTTAGCTCCATACTTAGCCAAATTCCATGTCATGGTACCAAGCTCTGCCTTGTCGGCTTGGTACCGTGTTGGCTCCATACTTAGCCAATTTTCTATGTCTTTTGGTGTCAAGCCTGCCTTGTCGGTTTGATACCCCTTTGGCTCCATACTTAGCCAAATTCCATTTCTTGGTACCAAGCCCGCCTTGCTGGCATGGTACCCTCTTACCCCATACTTAGCCGATTTTGTCTCGACACCAGGCCTGCCTTGCCGGCTTGGTACCCCGTCGTTGACCCTCTTACTTGGTACCCGGTCGTTTGGCACCCCGTTGTGCCGCCTTGTTTTCCATACTTGCCTTCTCGGCTTGGTGGCTCTATACTTAGCAAGTTTTTGTGTATTTTGGTATCAAACCTGCCTTGTCGACTTGATACCTCTTTGCTCCATACTTAGCCAAATTTCTTAGTCAAAGTATCAAGCCCTGCTTTGTCGGCTTGATACCCCGTCGTTGACCCCCTTAGCTGGTACTCGGTCGTTTGGCACCTCGTTGTGTCGCCTTGTTTCCAGACTTAGTTTTTGGATGGCCTCCTATTTGGTACCCATTCGTTTGGCACCCCGTTGTGCCGCCTTGTTTCCAGACTTAGTTTTTGGGAGCCAAATTTCACACCAAGGGTCACACCAAGGGGTGGAGGCATCGTCCGGCTATAGGGGCCAAGGAGACGGGTCGACCATCATGTATGGAGAAGAGCTTGGCCACTTAGGCCCAAAAACCCAACCCAACAAGGCCCAGCTAGCTCTTTTAATTATTAATGTTGAGCTGACCTTATAAATCCATTAAATCTCTTGTAGTTAATCAATGTGGTGCAAGCTGATTATTTTATGGGTAAACAAATGCCCCACAACTATTCCACTAGCTCACACATGGTCACATCGGGCTCTAAACTCTCAACCCTTTTGCGGCGAGGATTTGGCACGATCAAAGCCAATAAAAGGTGTTTGTTAACTCTTGTAATGCTTGCTTCCTCCTCTTTTGTTTATTTTTTTTTTGGTAAGAAAGTGGGACGCTAAAAGGGCGCCCCTGCCTGATACTTAAATTAAGCGGGTTTGGGAAATACCCAAACAATCATACAAGATCCAAAATGATAAACCAGCGTCGGAGACATCAAAATCATGATAACCAATGCTACTAGAATGACCCTTGTTGGCCAGAAAATCCGCCACTTTGTTCCCTTCCCTGTAAATGTGGGAAATCTTCACTTCCCAGCTTTTGTTGAGTAGTTCCTGGAACTGTTGAACCAGGATAAAATACCTTTGCTCCATATGTTCACTAGCAGTGAGGATATTAATGGCTGTGGTGGAATCCATTTGTAGCAGAACCTTCCTATAACCATTCCTCCACGCCAGCTGAAGACCTCGGATGGCTGCCATAATTTCTGCACGAGTAATTGTGCACACTCCGAGATTCTCAACGAACGCTCCCATGCATTTCCCAGCCCAATCACGAATTAATCCGCCACCAGCAGCCGTTGATCCTGGCTGTTTCACTGAGCCGTCGGTATTCACACATACCCAGTCCTGAGGTGGCGGAATCCAAGCACACTGATGAGCTGTCTTACTCGGGGCTGTTTCTCTGGTCGCTGTGTCATCTGCTTGAGCTTGTCTAATGGTCGTCGTCCAGCAACGGATCCGATGCGCCAGCACGTGATCTTCCTGGGTCAGATTGTGAAACACCTTCTCGTTTCGTCTTTTCCAGAGATACCAAGCTGCTACTCCGAACAGAAGACCCTCCTGATCCTTCCTGAGATGGTTGTCTAGCCATGCTGCAAATCCAAGGCCGCACGTTAGCAAATCATCTTGGATTCCCAGGTTTCGCCATACCTGTTGCGAGCTAGGACAGTGTCGCAGGATATGTTCCGTTGTTTCTGTCTCGGATCTGCAGGTTGGGCAGGTGTCAATCGTGGTGAGTTTTCTCCTCTTCCGCTCCGCATTTGTCATTAACCTGTCATGGAAAACCAACCACAAGAAATGTTTAATCCTATTGGGTCCGGTCCATTTCCATAGTTGTTTCCAGTGGGGTTGGGCAGCTGCCTCCTCCAAAGCCGGCTCATCATCGCTCAACCACTCCACAGCCGCCAAGTAGGCAGATCGGAGTTTAAACTTTCCATCCTGCTCCATGCCCCAGGCCGTGATGTCTTCTCCCAGTCCCTCCTTCGGCGGGTCCGTACCTGCAATCAAAGCAACCATGTTTGGAGTTAGATGTTGCACAATCTCATGCCACTTCCACTCACCTTCGGCCGTGGCCATATCGGCCACTGTGGCGTGCCAATTGATCCCCTCTCCATCGTCGATAATCTGATCTCTCAGGACAATTCCCTCGGCCAGCCACGAGTCAGTCCAAAAATGGACATTGCAACCGCCCCGGATGTCCCACACAATACGTTGCTTGAGAATAGGCCAAGTATCAACAATCCCTCTCCAAAGTCTTGAGAAATTGCTTTTCTTCATGGTCATGGCACCTGCAGCATTAGTTGTAAAATATTTTCCTTGCAGAATGCGGATCCATAGCTCATCAGAGTGGTTTAGGAAAGCCCATCCCAATTTCATCAGGTACGAAAGATTAAGCGCCCTTGCTGATCTTAACCCAAGACCACCCTCTTCTTTTGGTTTACAAATGGTTTCCCATTTAACCAAATGAGTCCTGGAATTACCGTCTTCAGTACCCCAGACAAAGGCTCTCACTTTCTTGTCAATGATCTCGCAAACTGAAATGGGAAGAACCGCTGTTTGCATGACATAATTCGGGAGAGCGTTCAACACTGACACTGCCAAGGTCACCCGGCCAGCTAAGGATAGGCTTCTCGCCTTCCACCCAGAGAGGCGCTGATCAATCTTCTCCAAAACATACTTATAGGTATCTTTAGTGACTCTTCCATGAATGACCGGAACCCCCAAATAACGCCCCAAGTTACTGGTTTGTTTGATCCCCAACATGTCACTAATTCTTCTTTTCATCTGTTCCCTGGTGTTCTTGGAGTAGAAGACACACGATTTCTCTTTGTTGACTTGCTCCCCCGAAGCATCACAAAAGCGGTTTAGGCAGGCCAAAATCTCCTCACCCTGTTTTAGATCCGCCTCAGCAAACAAAACCAGATCGTCTGCAAAAAACAAGTGGGTAAGTGGAGGTCCATCCTTCGATAAGGTAATCGGCTTCCAAGCCTTCCTATCGATTGAGTCTTTGATGCAATGATTAAGCCTTTCAATACATAAAGTAAAAAGATAAGGCGAAAGAGGACATCCCTGTCGAAGTCCCCTGGTAGGTTGGAAGGAATCCGTGCAGCCGCCATTCCAAAGGATCTGGAATCTGGTAGTCGTCACACAGGCCATTACAAGGCGGATAAATTCATTCGGAAGACCAGCCGCCACCAACGTCGATTCCAGGAAGCTCCAATTGATCCTGTCATACGCTTTAGCCAGATCGATTTTCAAGATCATTTGTCCTTTAGCCCCTGTCCTGCGAGACATAGTGTGAACTACTTCCTGCAAAATGATAATATTATCTGTGATATGCCTTTTAGGAACAAAGCTCGACTGGTTCTGGTCGACTAGCTGCGGCATGAAATTCTTTAGCCGATTTGCTAGACACTTCGCCATGGCCTTGTAACTAACATTACATAGCCCAATTGGTCTGAACTGTGCAATTTGCTTCGGAGACTCCACTTTGGGCAGCAACACCAGCAGGGTATCATTACACAGCTTGATCCGACCCGGGTCCCTGAAACAGGAAACAATGTGTTCATGGAAATCAGCTCCCACTTCGTTCCAGCACTTTTGATAGAAAGTAGCGTGAAAACCATCCTTCCCAGGCGCCTTCAACCCTCCCATTTCTTTGATTATCTTGTAGGTTTCCTCCGGAGTTGGGCTGTCCGCTAAATGGGATGTCATTACTTCGGAGAGAGCGTTGAAGCATGCTGGAATCTGAGGCTGCCCTGTGCAATCATCCATATACAGGCGAACATAGAACTCTCTTGCCATGAGTTTCAACACCTCTGGATCCTCAATCCAAGTTCCATCCTCAGCTTGAAGTCTGGTTATTCTGTTCTTACGACGTCGAGTGAGGGCAGCAATGTGGAAATACCGAGTATTTCTGTCTCCATTCACAATCTGGTTTGCCCTAGCCTTCTGTAACCACAGGAGTTCCTCCTGCCACAACGTCTGCTCCAGCTCTTCTCGGATCTGTCCTTCACGTCTTAGAGAGGCTTCAGTTGCCGCCGACTCATTCTGGATTTCCAGTCGAGTAAGTTGTTTGGAAAGCTTCGTTTTCCTCCAGAATATGTTGCCGAACACCTCCTTGTTCCACCGCGTAAGATGACCCTGCAGTTCCTGCAAAGACAGCAAACAATCCCTTCCTCGGATCCAAGAGGCCTCAAGCGTAGACAAAAAGTCTTTATGGGCTAGCCAGGGAACCAGGAAACGAAATGGCCTTACCTGCCTTGGGGGAATATGGTCGTTGTGGCTGCAGATAAGAATAGGTCTATGATCCGACCGGAGTTTAGGCAGATGAGTAGTTAAGGTGTCCGGAAATTGACTGATCCACTGCTGGTTACACAAGGCTCTGTCCAGCCGTTGGAAAAGTCTCCCATTGCTCCAGGTAAACTTAGGACCATTGAAACCTACGTCGAGCAGGCCGCACTCCCTAATACATGAGTTGAAGTTGGCTGTCCGGGAGGGATTATACTTTGCTCCTCCTACTCGTTCAGACGGGCAGGTTATCGAGTTGAAGTCTCCCGCCAGCAGCCAGGGACTCGTAATATTCTGTGGGCTTATGGCCACTTGGTCTCCCCCTCGGCTACCAAGCCTGAACGGAAAACACAAGACACTTTTCTTTCTTTACTAAGACTTTTTTTTTCTTGAATCCTCCTCCAATTCGGAATGGCTTGACGATGCCGTGTTCCCTTAAGCTTCCATTCCCTTTTACACAAACTATGTGTGTCTACCACTTGCTTGCCCCCACAGTAGAGTTTTATTGTCTTAGCCTAGTTTTTATCTTTGGCTTATGGGTGTGGCATCAGTCAACTTAGCCTCACTTTCACCACCATCAATACTATACTTCTATCCCAACATATCCTTCGTGACATGGCTAGCTGCTCAAGTCATTCTTCATCAAGAGGGTATCATGTCATGCCTTAGGGTGTGGGAGGCTTTGCATGCTGGCCATGATGGTGGCCTACTAACATTGAACCCGTTGACAACCCATGTCCTAAAGAGAAGGGACGTAGGGCTTAAGATACTTGCCATTAATCAATCGATCATTAAACACATAATCTAAATCTTTTAACAAGTAGGCCCCATTGGACCGGGTGGCATGGACAATGAAGGGTCCACTCCAACACACAATCACCAGCCCATGCCATGTAAGTGACATGGATCCAACCACCACATGATTGTGGCTTACCAGTCATGTCCAGGTCCTCACATCACAAATCTATCTAAAACTTGTCACTTTGACCTCGTATTTTTTTAGCCATGATTGGCTTTTGATTTTTTTTCTCTTATTTTTTTACTAATATTTTATTTATTTATTTTAATATAGAAAAGAGTGATATGCATCACTGTTCTTCATACCCTTTGGCCACGACAAACGTGCCAAAGGTGTATACCCACTGCCAAGTCCATGGGTTAAACCAGACAAGCCATCCATAGACCACATGTTTACTCTCCTTAGAAAGAGACGACTTCTTATCAGTTGGTTTTGAATTTCCCAACTCAACCATGGATTGTGCCCGGTCCACTTGTCTTGCCTTGGTGGCCTTGTAGGGGATCTCACGATCCTCTGCCTTAGCCACCTTACTAGACGTGTTGAACCTGATGTGCTTGTCTCGTTTCTGGTGATACTCTAGGTATTCTCAACTCATTGAGCTCATGAAAGAGACCACGAGTTTTTATATTCCTTGGTTCACCCCAACCATGCTTGTTCATCCCACATAGTTGGGAAGAGGAGTGGTTGGACTCAACAAATCGATGACCACCCTTGTGGCCAACGTGACCCTGTTCAACCCTTACGCCTTGCTGACTTCTACACGTAGCACATAACAACCTCTGGTTATTTGTATAAACATGTTTGGTTATTGTATGTCGAGATGTCTTATGCATGCCCCCTTGTCTGCCATTCATGTCTGGCATGCCATGAGGGCTGTTAAGCGTGGACTTGCTTCTTTGTCCATCCCTTACACTCTTATACTTAGAAAACTTTTGGGTGGCTTGAGTGTTTTCCACACTTCTAGACTTGCCCCCCACTCGTTTCTTTACGGTCGATGGCAAGCCCCCTCCTCTACTGTACGAGGCTGGAGACATACCCCCCTTGCCATACTTAGCTACATTATTATGCTTTTCGGCTCGTTGAACCTTCTTGGGTACGTCTATCTTCCCACTGTTGGTTATCGATGACATGCCCCCTATCATAGTTAGCTACACTATCATGCTTA